TCACTCAACTGGGTTAGCAATTCCTAAATGTACCTATACTCAAACTCTTAGGACCTTTACTTTTCTTCGTCTTCCATGTTCAGTAGACACTTGTGATACATATTTGCTTGATAACTCGATCAGTATATTGAAGTACTGCAGTGCGGAATATTTCGATGCGGCTCCGGTCTCCGCTTTCCGTGACTTTCCCCTATTTTTAGAAGCAACGCCCTAAAAACGTACGATAACGTTCTATAATTACTTGAAGACTTCAGACGAAGTTGAGGTCCTCGTCTGAGAGGAGACGCGAAGAAAAGAGGTTCGTGATTGCCGATCGGCACGGAACAAAGGCTGTCGATCATCCCGAATCTTCGTGACAGAACAATCCCCCAGACTGCACCTTATCCTCACTTCATCACTCGAACCCTGCGCACAGACTCTTCAATTGCAAGGGCCAGATGTCTGCCATAAGCGAAACAGACAAGCTTCGCATCATTAAAGCAGCACGGGAAGGTCTATTTATCTTATTACATTGGCTCAACGATCTACCTCAAGCTCACGTGGTACATTTTCAATTTCTCTTTTAAAGCTAGGGAGTTCGCATACTGTCGTTACTCAAGATTCCGCGTCGGTGCAGCATTATTGAGCAAGTCGGGAGAGGTAATAAAGGGGGCAAATGTTGAAAATGCATCGTACGGTTGGTGTCTCCCAATCGCCAGTTTTCTGTCACGTGCCGAATTGACCACTGATCAGGCGGAACCATATGTGCTGAACGCACGGCACTCGTCAAAGCAGTTGTGTGTATACCAGATAAACTGCCTCAGAACAACCACTCTTACGACTAAGCTTCCAGAGCGAGGGCATACTTGAATTTGTCGCGCTGGCAGTGACGACGTGGGTAGATACTATTACGGATGCATTCTTTCCTCCTTTCACGAGACTAAACTTCGTTTTCTCAGCGACGTGCCGTCTCCCATATCACCATGTGGGATGTGTCGCCAGTTCATACGTGAATTCTGTGCTCCTGAGATGCCCGTTCTTATGGTCGCTGGGAATTATGTCGAAGGGTCGTCTGTCGACTTAGAAAAGTCCTCTATCGTAGTTATGACGGTCGATGAACTCCTGCCGAATAGTTTTGGACCGGAACACCTCCCGAGATAAGTGAGTTAACCAGACATGCCAACGATAGATAGAAACCTTATGCGCGACTTATGTCTTTGTACTTCAAACTTGTACAAGTCCTGGATCATGGTGTTACATAATCCATCTGTTGAAGTATATTTCGTGACGATCTTTTCATTTCGACGAATCTAAGGCCCGACTGCAACAAGATCGGCGGGTAAAATATGCGGAGGAAGAACAAGTGATCAGTCCATTTCACACCCAATGTCCCTGTAAGGCAATAAATCCCGTGTGAGCCGAGTCTAATTCAACCTTCTTTACTCACAGCCTACTCAATTACCAAGGAAACGTCTCGATCCAGCTTGGCTGATAAACACTTACTCCGCATTACTATATATTTCAGCAATGACCATTTCTTGCGGGCACCGTCTGCCCTTCACGAGAAGATGACTTCAGGTATCCACCACATTATAGGAGACGTCGAACCCGTCCCATTCCATCCTGAGGCAGATGGCAAACCAACTATTGAGCTGCGCACTAATGTCGACAGTCCTCTCAGCCCTATGACGGCGACCACGGATAGCGCAATTAGCCCTCTATCCCCTTTGGAAGGAGACCATCATACTGCAACTATCAGAGAAAATGGAATTCCATCCATTCCGAAGATGTCGGTCTCCGGCGCTTCCTCGTTCAAACTTGGCACTGCTTCCATCGACGATGTGAGGCCCATGAGAATAGTCATTATTGGCGCGGGATTTAGTGGTATCACGGCTGGTATTAGGTACGAATCCAGATTTTCCGAACGAATTATTTTTAAGTGTAGCATTCTGTTTGGCTTATCAGGTTCCCTCAACGGCTGCAAAATATTGACTTTACAATTTATGACAAGAATGCGGGAATTGGAGGAACGTGGCTCACAAACAAATATCCTGGACTGGCGTGTGATATCCCATCTCATTGTGTGCGTTCTAAGTTGTGTGAGAAAGATAACGACCAAACTAAATGACCTGTTGTGTCGTGCAGTATCAACTTACTTTCGAGGAGAATGTACGGCGCCAAATTTGCAGTTTTAGTAGAGAATAATCATAATCTTTACAGATTCAATGGTCCGCCTTTTATGCTCCTGGGCCCGAGATCCGTGCATACCTTGAACATGTCGTTGACAAGTTCAAATTAATGCGATATATCAAGTTACAACACGAGATTGTTCACGCACGCTTCGACGAAGCGAGTGGAAAATGGCATCTGAGAATTCGTCGTCCTATGTCGGATGCCCCTCCCGGGAGTATACAGTATGAGACATTTGACGACACCGCGGATTTCGTCTTTGCCGGCCTCGGGGCACTGAGTAGATGGTCATGGCCCGACATCCCCGGTTTGAACGATTTCAAGGGAAAGCTGTTGCATTCTGCTGACTGGGAAACGGATGAAAAGGGACTTTGGCAGGAAGGTGTGAAAGACTGGGGGGATAAGAAAATAGGTGTAATCGGTGTTGTGAGTTAGCTGACCAGTTATGCCTCAGGATTAATTAATTCATTGCTTCACTGTAGGGTTCCTCGGGACTGCAGATTGTACCAGCCCTACAGCCGCGCGTCAAACACTTGTACAACTATGTTCGAGGAAAGACGTGGCTTGCTCCACCATTCGCTTCGCATAAGCTATTGGAATTGATGAAGCGCGATCCGAACGCTGAGAACTGTAAGCTTGACAAGCGAGATTACCGTCACGCGACCTAAATTTCTCCATTTTCAGATGAGTTCACTGATGAAGATCGGAAATCATTTGAGGACCCCGTACTCTATAAACAATTTAGACATGATCTGGAAAGCGAACTGAATGCAAGTTTGAGAATGTGATTTCGCTTTCAAGCTCTCATAACTTGCTTCAGTCAGTGCATTTCGCTACTATCAGAGGCTCTGAGATGCAGAAGGGGGCACGAATTGCGTTTAAAGATTCTATGATTAAACGACTCGCGAAGAAACCTTGGATCGCGGATCATCGTATGTCGGAAGCTTTCGCTACCGGAATTCTAATTCGCTAACTTATGAATTTTGCTATCGTGGTTTAAATCAAGTCATCCCCGATTTCTCCGTTGCCTGCAGAAGACTGACTCCTGGGCCAGGTTACCTGGAAGCTCTTTGCGAAGACAACGTACTTGTTAATTCCACCATGCTGGAATAGGAAGCTAATTATTTGTTTATAGGTGGACTTCGTGCCGACTCACATCAAGCGCATCACAGAAACTGGAATAGAGCTTGTTGATGGATCACATCATAATCTAGACGTCCTTATTTGCGCTACAGGCACGTTGAATTTAACTGCAGCGAAGCCGAATAAGCTAGCTAAATGCACGGGCTTTAATAAACAGGGTATGATACGAGCTTCCGGTATCCGTTCTCAATTGTTGGCAGAGGCGGAAAGACCCTGAATGAACGTTTTTCTCCACATCCTGTGACGTACCTCACAGTTTGTACAGATGGCTTTCCGAATTGGTTCATGGTGTGTTGCCTTCTTGTTCTTCATGTACTCGAGCCGTCTTAGTCTGACATCATTCCTGGTAGTCACTCGGTCCAAATTCTGGTGTCGGCTCAGGTTCATTACTCGTTCTTATCGAGCGTCAGATCGACTTTGCGGTCGCCGCTGCAATGAAGCTACAACGAGAGCACTTGAAGACCATTGAACCGAAGGCGGAAGCTGTCGCAGATTTCGACGAATATCTAGAGGTAGGTGGCACAAATTGTCGAATTTCTTATAGTAACTTAATTGTAACTTCATTAGCACTATTTTCAAACGGTAAGAATAAGCATGCGTAGAGCGTTCCAGAGCTGATGTATGCAAAATAGACCGTATACAGTGAGAAGTGTCGATCATGGTACAAGATGGGAAAAGAGGAAGGCCGAATCGTAGGCCTTTGGCCAGGATCATGTCTTCATGCCGTGCGTGCGCTGACCTTCCCTCGTTGGGAGGACTTTAATTACAAGCCTCTTGACGAGCCCGAGACACGTAACCGTTTCTATTGGCTTGGAGATGGTTCAACGTATAGTGAGAAGTATATGGTTGGAGATCGTAAGTTACATAACTTCAATATTCGTTCTTTATCGATTCTGACGTTTCTCAAGGCGCTTGGTATCTGAATCCCGAGGAAGTCGACATCCCTCCAGGTGCGTAAAAATCATCTACAATAGCCCTTGGAGCTGCATTCAACTAACCGATATACAGTTCCACAATGATAATAGCAATAAACTTGGATATCATCCCACATACCATGCCAATTTCCCTCATTGTAATATTGAGTTGCACCCGAAGAAATAAAATCAATATATCCGCTACTGTGATTGAGTCTGGCTCTGCAAAATTTGGCGGGTAAAATCAGGATCGCATTCTTATGACGTGGTCAACGAACAAATATATTCGGCTTTGAATATCACAAAATGAAAGATAGGGATAAAGACAAAATACCCACCTAAGCCAATTATTAGTGTTCCAGGTGTCAATGAAAGCGAACCAGATAAGTAGTTTATGCGAGGATCGACGGCTGCCAAACCGGGAGATGAGGGTCTCTTTTTCACTCAAAGTCGTTTGCTCCTCAGCCTGATGCAATGCTTCCTCATTCCACGCAACAATAGCTGTAGACGGAAAGAATGCGCGATGTGCACTGTGTTGCAATTTTCAGAACACAGGAAGTCTGGTTATCTTGAGGGTGGCTGACCAGTCATGTGGTGAACCACGGACTTCCTTGGCGAGTAGAACCGGATCGAGGAAAGAAGCATTTCAGTCGTGCCAGTCAGATTAATGATTGAAGATCACACACAGAAATGAATCAGTTGCAAGAAAACCTGCAAATTGATTAGTACATTAATAGTAGGTAATGAAGAATAAGACTAATGTGGTTATCATTCAATAGAGAACTCGAACTTCAATCAATAGTGTATTAAAAGATGTATCTGAATTACATATTTATTATAGATTGAATCATTAATGAAGATAGAAGCCAATCAATCCATATAAGAGATATTAATCATTATTATAAAAAGACTTCTAATGTGTATCAATTAATAGGAAAGCTGAACATTAATCAATAATATGTATACAAATACATTTGAATATTATACTAGTTTTAAATTTGAATCATTAACAAACAAGGAATTCAATCAATAAGAAACTCAAACATTAATCAATGATATGTGTACAAATACATTTGAATAATGTATCAGTTTCACATTTGAATCATTGACAAATAAAGAGCTCAATTAATAGAAAACCTGAACATCAATCAATAATATGTATACAAATACATTTGAATATTATACTAGTTTTAAATTT